TAAGAGAGCCCTCTGCAAGGATCCTAGGATTATACAAGGCTAGTTTGGCCTAGCAGCTAACATTAAAGCTAAGTATAGCATCCTAGATAAAGATATATTTAACTTTAACAAGGCTAGCTTTATAATAGGCTAGATATCTACTAGTTTAGTTGTTACAGCTTTAGAGAGACAAGGACAGCTAAAGGTAGTGCAGCAAGGCAATAGAGAGTAGACAACAGTTATCTAGGTTATTAACGCAACAGGGTGGGCTATTCCACCCTTTTTTATCTTTAAGGGCCGCCATCACCTCTCTGCCTAGTTTAAGGAGGGGGATCTACCTCACAATTAGGTTATTGCAGTATCTAAGAACAGCTAGACAACAAATAAGCTTAGCCTGTAGTAGTTAAAGCACTTTAATAAGCATACAAAGAAGAGAGCACTAGTTAGCAGCCACTAACTGCTCGCAATTGATGGCCATAAGAGCTATAACTCGCTCGCTTTCTAGGAATACTGCAAGGAGAACAAGATTATTACTATCTGCATGCCTCTACACTTATCACACCTCCTGCAGCCTCTTAATATGGGGTGTTTCTCGCCTTTAAAGACAGTGTATAGCCGCTAAGCTAAGAATCTTATGCGCAACTAGATTACCTATATTATAAAGCTTAAGTTCTTACTATGCTTTATACGCGCCTATAATGCAGTAATTACTCCTAGTAATATCTAAGGAGGGTTTTAAGGCGCTAGATTAGTCCTATTTAACCTAGAACAGGTTATAATAGCGCTTAATGTCTAGCTACGTACTCTATTACTACTACTCCCTAGCAATAAGCCCTAGCAGTTGCAAACCCTAAGCAATACCCTTAAATTAGGATTGCAATTAATGCTTATAAAGGCAAGGATTTAGAGGCATGTAGATAGCTTACTAACGTCTATAGTAGAGGCTTTTAAGAAGGTCTTAAAGGGAGCAGTAATTATCACGCATAAGCTAGTGTTAGCGTAAAAGGAGATTATAGAGCTTTAAGCAGCAAATAAGGCTGCTACGCAACGTAGATTACAAAAAAGAAAGCAGGTTTAAGTAGAGGGGACCTTAATAGTTAAGGATAGGGCTTGTTTAGCTGCTCTTAAGGACTTTAGGGCGTGTAGTAATAGGAAGAAGCTAAAGAGGCAGGTGCGCGCTGAAGTAGGTGAACTATCTTAATAACAGTGTACACAGTGCAAAGAGACTAGGCATAATGCGCGTACCTGCCAGAAGGTAGTAGAAGTAGACTCTGAATGATATCGCATCTTGCTTTGTACTATACAGGGCCAAAGTGGGCTATTTTGCGCCAGAATGGGGTGGTTTTGGTGGGGGCTTGGCAAAAGTGATCCACGAGCCCGGGTGATCCACGAGCCCGTGAGGTACGTTATTAGCTAAATTAACAAGAAGGCCTTTATTGCAACATTTGCAAAGGTTTTTAAGAAGGCGTTCTTAAAGGCAAACATCACATTAAGCTTTAAGGCAACTAGCTTAGTACCTAATAATCTATTAGTGGTGCTATTAAAGCTTAATGTTAAGCTTTAGACACTAACACCACCTCTACTAGGGGGGACCTAATAGAACCCTAAGATACCTACTAACGCTAATAAGATAGAGTCTTAATTAACACTACTTCGCAATTGTATTTAAAAGCACTAAGGATTATTACTAACTCTAATAGTAGAGATTGTTAATTAGCTGCAGAGAGGCACTGCAATGCTACTGCATAGGCAGACATTATTAGCAGCCCAAGTGCTGCAGCTTAAAGCGTTAAACAAGGCTGCTTCTAAGCGCAAATCACGCAAAAGAAAGCAGATCTAGAAGGGTAGAGACCTTTTAAAGGAATAGGTAGAGGATTTAATAGCCTAATGTAATGTTAGGGCGCAGGTAGAGGGGGAAACGCGTAAGAGTAGGGCCTAAACAGGTGCAGGCAAGCAGGGCAAAAGGCACTGCAAGCGCTGTAGTAAGACAGGGCACAACTCACGCACGTGTAAAAAAGATATAACGTACCCCACGGGCGAACGACTCAACGGGCGAGCGACTCACTTTTGCCAAGCCCACACCAAACCTCACCCCATTATGGCCTCTATCAGCCCACTTCGGCGCTGCGCAGGGTAGAACAACCTGTAATATTACTTAGAAACTACTTCTACATCATTCTTGCATATTCGCGCGTTATGTCTAGTCTTGTTGCACTATCTACAGCGCCTTTAGGTCAGCTTAGCCCTATCAGCGCGCACTTACTTCTTTACCTTCTTCCTATTACTACGCGCCCTAAACTCCTTTAGAGTTATTAATTACAGGCTATCCTTAACTATTAGGGTCTCTTCTACCTAGACTTGCTTTCTCTTGTGTGATTTCTAGCGTGCAGTAGCCTTATTAGCTGTTTTAAGCTTAGTAATCTATTTCTCTGTAAGCACAAGCTTGTGTGTGACTATTGCTGCGCCCTTAATGTAATGCTTAAGCGCGCTTGTTATAGAATTTAGTAAGCTACCCTAGTATCTCTAGAACTTATCTTAAATTAGAGTAGATTACAACCTAAATTCTAGGGTATTGCTTAGGGTTTGCAACTGCTAGGGCTCTTTATTAATAGGGAGTTGTGGTGATAGAGTGCGCAGCTTCACATTAAGGCTGCTTATAACCTATTCTAGGTTAAATAGGACTAGTCTAGCGCCTTAGAACCCTCCCTAGATATTGCTAGTAGTAATTATAGCGTTGTAGGCGCGTATAAAGCATGGCAGGAACTTAGTCTTTGTAATATAGTTAATCTAGCTGCGCATAAGGTTATTAGCTTAGCGCCTATACGCCTGCTTTAAAGGGGCAAAACAGCCTACATTAAGTAGCTGTAGAAGGTGCAATAAGTGTAGAGGCATACACAAGGTAATAATCTTGTTATTCCTACAGTATTGCTAGAATTTAAGCAAGTTATAGCTCTTATAACTATTAATAACTAGTAGACAGTAGGTCCTAACAGTACGCTCCTTTGTATACGCGTTAAAGTGCTTTAACTACTCTAGACTAAGCTTGTTAGTAGTCTAGCTATTCTTAGAGACTGTAATAACCTAGTCTTAGGGCAGACCCTCCTCTTTATACTAGGTAGAGAGGTAATGTTGCGCCTTAAAGATAATAAAGGGTAGTATAGCCTAGCCTGCCCTATTAATGCCCTAGATAACTATTGTCCACTCCTAGTTGCCCTATTAAATAGACTTTGGCTGTCCACAACGCTCTAAGCCTGTAACAACTGCTCCTGTAGATATCTAGCCTATTATAAAGCCTGTCTTATTAAAGTTGTACATGTCTTTATCTAGGATACTATACTTGGCTTTAGTATTCTCTACAAGCTGGAACCAGCCCTATATAATCTCTAGATCCTCACAGAGGGCTCGCTTGTAGTTGTACTTGCGATTAAACCTCACTTTAAGCTCTAGTTGACGCTTAACAAACATACTAGGCTAGTTTACGCCAACATAGCCTAGATTGCGCTCAGCGCGCAAAGAATTGGCCATATCAGCCACAGCTGCAAGCTGAGGGGGAAATCCTCGCGCAGCTAGCTAAAGGATGTAATCAACAATCACCTGCTCCTTATTCTTGTCTAGGTTCTATAAGTTAGGTGCAGAATTAGCGTGTGAAGGTCGTCCAGCGCGTTGTTTGTTTAGTGTAGCTTAAGGAACCTTATAGATAGCTGCAGCGCGCTGCTTAGAGAGATTCGCGTCTTGTTTAAGAGCCTAGAGCGCAAGCTGTATCTGACGTTCTTTTGACGCGTCTAAGTGGTGTTGTTGAGAAGGCATTGGTGTAGGAAGGGTGGTTTGGTGGGGGCTTGGCAAAAGTGAGTCGCTCGCCCGTTGAGTCGTTCGCCCGTGGGGTACGTTAGTAGATGTTAGCAATTAAGAATATATACTGTTGCCTATAGTATAACGTTGTGGTGTTGAGCAATTGCGTGTAGAAGGCCTAATAGCTTGTTGGGGTGGCGCGCTCGCTTATCCGGCGCACTCGCTATGCACTCACGTTAACTTTAATAGTTAATACTCTTAATTAGCTTACTAAGGGCGCAGAGATAATAGCGCATTTACCAGTTTTAGTGCGTAACTAGGTCGCAGAGCTTCAAGCTGCTAATAAGGCCGCTACACGCCATAAATTACACAAGAGGAAGCAGATCTAGAGGGAGGGGACTCTTACTATTAGTAAAGGAGTATGCCTAACTACCCTAAAGGAGTTTAAAGCCTATAGTAATAGGGAGAAGGTAAGTAAGAAGAGGCGTGTTAAACTAGGCACTTAGTCTTTACAACGCTATAGCAGGTGTAGTAAGGCAGGGCACAACACTTGAATATGTATAAAAGATGTACAAGATACTATAGATTAGTGCTGTATACTGTAAGTTATAGTAACTTATAGTAACTTGCTGTGATATGCAAGAGAAGTTGAAGTTTGGTGTGGTCTTGGCAAAATCAGGTCACTCGCTCGGGCCGGCCACTCGCCCGTGAGGTACGTTAGTGCTCCTTCTCTTGCAGCGCCGAGAAGACGAGATACATGTCCCGGTGAATCACCAGACGAACACAGGTATTGATCAAGCCAGTCGACAAGTTTGCGAGACGTGCTTCAGCTGCGCCGGTTGCCTCCTGAGATGATGCGATGATGCGGTGGAGTGCCTGCGTTGCCAGCTGGAGACGCGTGCCAACGCGTTGTGGCGCGTGCTGTGATCGACGTCATTACCGCAGTGACCAGCAGTCCACAAGATGGCGCTAGCAAGTCGGCCCCACCCAGAAACTTTGTGTTCTCCGAGCTCCGCAACACTGCTTCGTTGCGCAGAGCGTCGAATCCCCAAATCCTCGCATTTCCATTGCGCCCACCCGCCGGCGATGGAGAAACCAAGCAAACGCATGCGGTTGACCGTCGTGGTCAAGGCGCTGGTGGCAGAAAATGCACACGGCGAATACCAGGCGGAAGCGCTGGCGGCGTTCAAAGAGCGCAAGTTTGCCCTGCCAGTTGAGCTGCACGACACGTTCGAGACGGTTTGGGGCGACATCGAGCAGCGATACAAGAAGAACTATCTCAACGCCCAGCAAGCGGCGACGTTCAGCATCAAGAAGCTGCAGGATGCCTACGACTGCGACCTTGACATGACGGACACGGTGGGCGACATCTTCGAGGGCGAGCCCGACGTCAAGATGCGCATGATCAATGTCGTGCCCCATTTTATATACCGCGAGACGTCGGTCGTGCCAGGGTCCATGCTGCGGCCGACGGGCGCCCAGAAGCGCGGCGGGGAGGACGTGGACGACGGCGCCAACAAGAGGCGACGCGTTGCAGCCCAACGGCCGCAGAGCGCGTCCGAAACGCGCGATCTCTCGCCGAACCGACCGATCCCCTCGACCGAGTCGCAGCAAGCCGCCGTCGCAGGCACTGAAGACGCAGAGGCCGGGCGCCACCTGGCGAGGTCGAGGACGGGCGCGTCGCTGGTCGAGCTGGGCCGCACCGAGACAGGCCAAGCACCGTTCAGCGCGCCTACAGTCAAGCAGGAGGAGCCGGAGCCAGAGCAGCCGCCCCTCCTTGACGGCATCGAGGCTGCGTCACCAAATGAGCCCGCCGAGCCCGCCGAGAGGCCCGTCAAGCCTGCCATCGAAGAGCGACCCGGCAATGAGCGACCCTCGCGGCGCCCGACACGCACACCGCGCGCACAACCACAGGAGGCTCCACCGCAGCCCACGACTACGAACGAGGAAGTGGCAGAGGTGGACCACGAGACCGCAGGGGACGAGCAGGCAGACGCACAAGCGCAGGCGGGCCCCTCACAGGTCGACCCACAGGAGGTTGCCATGCAGCAGTCGCCCGTGTCATCAGTCGAGCCTGAGCCCAAGCTGGCTCCGGCCACGGGACGGCGCAAGGACGTCTACGATGTGTCCAGCTCGCCCGACTTCATGCACCCGACCGCCACCCCGGACAAGACTGGTGTGACGTACGGTCGTCCGCCCGGGTCAAGCTTCCGTCTCTTGAACACGGCTCGCGGATATGGGCGCTCCGCCGGGAACAGAACGCCAGCTTCGGCAGCGAAGGCACACGCGGTTCAACCCCCGCTTGCTGACGTGATCGGATCCACACCGCACGAAGAAGCTCAATCCGCGACAAGACCGAAGAGCTACACCGCTGCCAATGATGAAGACAACGACGATGCGGATCCCACAGTCTCCTTGCCTGACGAGGCTGCGGCACCTACTTCGAATACTCATCAGACTCCCGCGCGGAAGACGCCCGCAAAGTCTTCAAAGCCTGGCAGCCTGAAGAAACCCTCACGAGACTTCTTGGTGAGTACGCCTACCAGCACAAAGGGTGGTGCGAATTCCCAGGCTGCTGCGACGCCAGCTTCGCTGGCAAATGCAAGCAAGCCTCGACCAGCAATTCGGCCATCACCAATGCAGTTGGCTTCGAGCACTAAGAAGCAGAGGTCCATCAGCTCGGCAGCATCTCAGAGCGCCATAGGATCACCGAAAGGCAAGGAAGCTGCGGTGGTGACCAAGCGAGCAACCAAGACACCGACGCCGAACAGCACGCAGACTGTGACAGGCACACCCCAAGAGAAGCCTCACGAATGCCTTACGTGTCACGCGCGCTTTGTGCGAGAGTCCAATCTAAAGAGACACGCCAAAACGCACGCAGATGAGCGAACACACACTTGTTCCAATTGTGGCCGTAATTTCTCTCGTGTTGATGCACTTGCGCGACACAGCAGGCTTCATGAAGGATGTCCTGGTCTCCAATCAAGCGTCGACTTTGAGGGTATGGAGGATGATCAGGCTGAAACGCTTGGTCGCACTCATGAGCGAAGCAATTCCGTGCGCAGCCTCCGCAATAAGATTACTTCATACCTAGATCACAACACCGAAACCGACACGGGGCGAAATGAGGTATTGTTGCTGCCGAACGGCCGTCACGCTCTACGCAGCAGGAGCGCAGGAAGCTCGCTGCTTGCGACTGGCGATCCTAGTACAAGCAAGAACAGCCCCGATGCCACAGTGAAGGCCTCCGCGAAAATGAAAAGCGCTACGCAAAGCTCGACACCCAAGTTCGACAAGAATACTACGAAGCAGCCCGCTGTTACAACACACACCGCGAAGCCAGCAAACGGCACCACCGAAATCTCGAGCGCTGAATCGTCTTCCTCGGACTCCTCAGACTCCTCAGACTCCGACCCAGATCCAGATGACGAACCCGAACAGCAGGCAAAGACTGGCACGGAAGTGGGTCTGGAAGTCCAAGGCACTCCGGCGAAGAGACGATCTCAACGAATCACTGACGATCGCAGCAGCGCAAACGATAAGGAGAAAGAGCGGCCAAAGACACTACCTGAGCACGAAACTCCGGCAATGTACATCGCTGCGCCTCAGACCCAGGACAAGCCACCCTCTGGGCAGGAAGCGGAAGGAGCTGCGCGTTGGGGAACTCGAAATGGGTGTGGTCTTTCAGATCAAAGCCTCCACACTCCCGTAATTGAGCCGACGCAAGATCAGAAGCCAGCACCTGAAGCAGCAGTAGTGACACCAGTCACAGATGATGAGGGCTTTGCCGATCAGGATCATTACAGCACCGCCTTCGAAGACAATGCAGCCGGATCGCGCTCTGCCAGCGTTGCTGTTTCCACACGCTCTTCACCAGCTGTTTCTCGGCGTCCCGCTCGCTTTCTAAGTCACTCCCCAACGCCAGATGCATCGGAAAGCGACGACGGTGGCGATGAGGCCACCGCTCTCAAGGTCGCATCGCCGCGGGTCAACAATCAGGAAGAGAGTGAGAGCGAAAGTGAATCTTCGTCAGATAGCGAGGATGACGAGACGCCTGCTCTGCCAACCGGTCCAGCCAGTGGATTTCACACTCAGGCTGAACCGCCTTCCTCACCTCCTCTTGGGGGTCTCGTAACCTTAGCCCCGATCGTCTCAAAAAGCAGCCAGTCTGCTCCGTCTCAGGCTCGCCCTCCAACGCAACAGACACCGGTCCCACTACCGACACTGCAGTCCCCACAGGCTCCGCGCTCTAGCCAGTCAGTCTCTGTACAGGCAGCTGATCGCCGCCGATACACAGGCTTCCGCAGCCTGCGAGAGCAACTTGCAGATACCAAAGCTGCGCAAGCTACGACACAAAAGAAGACGTTCGATCCGCGCACTATGAGTCTGGGCAAGCTGACGAAGGGTATGCCACTCGCTGCTCTGGGAAGCGACGTTGAGAGTAGTGACGACGAGAGCAGTAGCGATAGCGATAGCGATTGATACAATATGGGTATCGCGATCCGGAACGCACGCCTGGTCAACACTGGGCAAGGGAGAAGTAGCCGGAGGCTCGAAGAACCAACTGATAAGTCGCTGTGCTGGAATTGAGCTCACGTCTCGCGCGTAGAGTTTGTCGGTGCATGCTTCTTAAAAGCTCTACAGACACGATTCTAAGCGCGTTCTCATCGAAGCTAGAGCAAGCCAGTGCGAATGACAAATGAGGTCGTGGTCGTCTGCGACCCTTCGCCACGTGTGACTGCCATTTCCCAAGCCAACGTCGCCGCCTTCATGTGCACACGAGAAACAACGACCTCGCTGCTCTGTGCAACTGCGTTATGACGCCGTCCACCCACCTTCCATGTCCGACAAGCCCGCTGCCGATCGTCACACCTGCACCGCAGCCGATTCCCTCTCTACAGGACTGACAAAGGCCTCTAATCCGATCGATCAATAGTAAACAGTATATGGCGGCAAATATTGCTATGCGAGATGTTCCAGAGACCGTGGAACATCAGTGAGCTGAGCTGAGCCTGCTTCTCGGTGGTTGGAAGCATTGAGGTCAGTATGCTGACCGCCGCGCAGACGGATCGTGAAACGGCTTTTCGTCTCGCATTTTTTTGCCCTCGTATTAACGCGCAGACCTAAATACTTCGTTGTGTCCGTTCTCATGTTGCGCGTCACTGCTATTCAATCACAGTACGATGATGTTATGTCCAGACACATTGGCCGCCGGCAGAAATGGTTTCGTGACCTGGACCGTTTCGAAGTGCTCAGCCACGCCCGAGCCGCCAGCACATTGAAGTCAGACAGGCAAAGTCGGCGCCTCGTCTCCTCAGACAGGGAAGGTGATGCCGTAGGCTGCACCTTGCTGCCAACAACTTAAGTACCACTCCCATTGGTGCGGGACCGAGTTTGAGAACAGCTCTTTTTACTGATTTCAGATGGCTGCCTTACCAGTGAATAGCCGCGTATGCTGCTTCTAGCAGATGATTTGCGCTTTCGTGCGAAGGTCAAACACTATACAGGCGCTATGTTTTGACACGTCCGGAGTAGGATGCGTACTCCAGGTTGCCAGCCTTGTGTACGAATGCGTGTGCTTCGAGTATAAGAGATGGCCTTAGGACCTCGCAAGGCAAGCTAGAACGACTGCAAAATCCACGTGAGGTGCCAATTCTACTCTACCAGCTACAGCCCAACGATCGTAAACGCATCGCAAAACGACGATCAAACCTTCGAGGCATCGGAGAACATGACGAACCTGTTCCACATCATGGCTGTTCTGATGTGTATGTTCTCTCATGCCCTTCAATTCGCACACTAACGTCCACAGTATCTCTGGAAGCCGCAGCCCAAGGCACTCAATTCATCACAGGTCCATGCACCTCAGACGCAGACTGCGCATCCGCCTGTTGTGGATTCAACAGTAGTAAATGCGCTGGCCCTGTAGTCGCGCAAGAGAGAGATGGTGGGTGTGGATTCGGCAACGCCCAGCCAAACAACAATGCGGCTCTTGCACTGACTGGTGGCACACCTACGGGCGCTCAGGCAGAAGATGCGCCTATGCAGACGCCGCCAGCTGCTGGACAGGCTCCAAGTTCCGGAAATGAAGCGGCGCTGCCAAAGGGAAAGCAGTTCATCACTGGAGCTTGCATCAGTGATGCTGATTGTGCGAGTGCATGCTGTGGGCTCAAGAGCGGGAAGTGTGCGTCTCCAGCAGTGGCGCAGGAGAGGGATGGCGGGTGCGGTTTCGCGATGGAGGCTTCGCAGAGACGGATTGTTGTTTGGTAGATATTAGCACAAGGTTGCAGGAGGAGGCCGTGTCCGTAAAGCGTCAAGACACCAATCTCGACGAGATGAACAGTATTATATCAACTCTAGCTTCTTGTTGGCCAACAGTTCCATTTCTCTCAATGCTCCTCCTTCTCTGGAGCCGTCGGACACACCTCTGTTTGCACACGAAAGATTGGCTTTCTTAGTTCATTTCCATGTTCAGTCATAAGCGGCAAGGGCAGCGAACCATCCATCAGTAGCAGATCCTTTAGCTCCGTAAGATGCTTAATCGGGCAGGCAGCGTACAGACCGCTCCGATTTGCATAACGGAAATTTGCCTCCTAGCCGCTCGCACCTCCACGATTTGACTGATCGTGACCTGGGCCAGCCACATACCATGGGCGAAACTCTTCAGAGTGACTTTTATAACGACGCCGATCGCTGTATTGGCCTTGGGCTGATTGTGTAGCCGCAGGAAGGGAGAGGCGCATGGGCGAAGAAATTATGAGGGCGACTCCGTCTATAAACAGTTGTCGACTTGCTGTCGATTTGGAGTGATTGTCTAGATCTGTGCACGGCGAGAGAGATTAGGACAAACGAAATGGTAAGTGTGTGAGCGACATAAAAGTCATCGGATGCACATGGGGGAAGGTAAGGGTAAAGATTTTTCAAAGGCTCGAAGGCCGTGTGTTGAGCTGTCAAAACGCCACGGTGTAGAATTGGACCTTGGAATGGAGAAAACAGACTGCGAAAGATGAGTAATCGTAGGTATGGAGGTACGCTGCTGAAGTTTTGTGCTTATTGAATTCTCTACATGTATGGCGAGAAGCCCATTCATTAGTTGACATGGATTTTACAGGACAGATACAAGACTGCAACGGTGTGATTCAAACCTACGCTGGTCATTGCCGATTGGCTGTTGGCTCACGCGTAGGCGTAATGAGAAGCATCGTTTGTAGTCCAGGGTTGATCGCACAATGGGTCGTCGTAAGAAGATGTACGCTAGTGAAGGGGAAGGGAGTAGTCCAAACCTAGCTGGCAGTCTTTGTTGAGAGGTCGTGGGTATCTAAGTCTCATGCGTCGTTATTCCGAAGTCGAGAAGCCTTTGCTTGGTATGCAGGACCAGTCGTCACGAGAAGTATTTTGCATGGAGTGACGAACGTGCGCTAGCGGATGCACCACACTCGTGGACTGCGCAACTGCTAGAAGCGTGTACGATGCGCCGGCTTCGAGGTGGTGCTCGATTCACCGATGTCTTCAGATGACTTGGTTCTAAAGCCGTGAGAGCCAGGTCAGCAGGGTCAAAGAAGATATAAGAATCGAGGTGTATTACATTTCGCTAGCAAGGAGCAAAGGCGAAGGTTACGAACAAATAAAGCGACGAGGTGTCTAGGGTGGTGCTGGCTCGAGTGGCAGCACACGTCTCTTCAAGCTATGATGCGTCGGATCCCAGCAATCACTTGCGTTGACGCTTGTTTGCTGCGTTGTGAGGCTGCTTCTTTCGTTTCGAGGGGTGGGACTGGGAGGGATCGCTTGAAGCAGATGATACATACCCGTTGACCTCCCTGTCCAGTTTCATGTACTCCTCGGCCGCGTCCTTGCCGCCACGATTCAGCAAGAAGTCCATGTAGAAATGGGAGAGCTTCTTAGAAGCCTCTGGGGAAAGTCGTCCTTTGGTTTGGACCAAGTCATGCACCGCCTTCACCCGCTTGTAAGCCTCTTCTGGATCAGTAGCGGGCTGCTCGATCTCGAATTGTAGGTACTTGTACCAGTAGTCTTTTGAATCAGAGAACTTCTGGTGCTTGTCTTGGAAAGCCTGGCGAGCCTCACCGACCGCACTCTTGCATTGCAGCAAGATACGTGCTTGCTCTGCAATCAACACACCGCCAATCTGGCTGCTACGCAGACCAATGTACTCCTCAAGGACCTTGACAGCCTCATCGTTACCCTCATGCCTTCGTACAACGCCCGCCAAAGAGATGATGGTCTCGACGTGGTCTGGAGCCTGCTCGAGCATGGACGTGTGGATCTCGCGAGCCACCGAGACACGGCCAAGCTTCTCTTCGAGGCGTGCCCAGTTGAGACGGATCGCGGGAGCCTCGATAGGGACGAAGATACAGCTGGCCCGCATGTAGATAATGCGCGTGTTCTCCTCTTTGCCCTGAGAAAACATCCATCGCGCATACCGAAGCCAGAACTCATCGTAGAGGGCACAAGCGACCAAGCAGCGCTCATATAAGAACGAGGTGCGCTCGAAATCGCCCTGCTTTTCCTCGTGATCGAGGTACTTGCGCCAGTTGTCAAGCTCGGCGTCTTCAAGCTCGGTGACGTGGAAGTACGCGCGCTTGATGGTCTGCTCGTAAGCCCAGCGATTCTGGACGTCTTGTTGTGTGCGGGAGTACGACTCGTAGTAGTATGCGTGGATCTTCTCACGAAGTTGTCGTTCAAGCTCAAGAGGAGCTTTCTCGGGGAATCCTTGATTCTCCAGTTGCATCGCGTTCTTGATGGTTTCGATGGTGTCGGGCTCGGCGAGGTCTTCGATTGGCCGTGTGCCAATAAGTGCGTTGAACTTTTCGTAGTAGCGGGAGAATTGGTAGATGGGGAGGAGCAGGACGCGGCTGTAGATCCTGGTCGAATTGCCAGGTTCTTGGACGCGTTCCTCAAACTCGATGTACTTGTCCCAAAATGGGTGGCTTTGGAAGTCGAGGCCGACAGAATGAGCTCCACGCTCGAACAGTCTATACTGTCAGCATGTTTGGGTCGAATTAGGGAAGGGGGAGGGACGGCCAAGATTGAGCTTGCAGAGAGTGCACCGAGGCCCCGTGGGACCAGCACCGTTGACAACCAATTGTCTCGGAGATGCGCGAAGACTTGACGCGATGCAATAAGTGCGGTAAACAAAACGAAGCGCCGCAGGAAGCGGCAGAAAGTGGCAGTGCATCAGACCTAAACACACATCGCCAACGCGCAAAGTACTTGCTGCTGGCTATGGGCTGATTTGAGTCTCAGAACCGAGGAAGAAAGGCAGAACTTACTCTCGAATGATGTCATTGTCGTGACATGTGTCCATCTTGAAGGTGCAGTAGTTGGCCCACAGGTCGACCGAAGTGGTGACAGCGCATACACCGCGCTCGTAAACCATCTCAGCGGTCTCTGTGCCTCCTATCGCGAACTCGAGATCGGCGTATTTTTTCCAGTACCCGAAGAAAAGTGGAAACTTCTGCAGAAAGCAGTCGTAAACGTTGCGCACCAGTTCAATGGCTGAGGGACTCGAATTGCGGGTGACGCCGCCCTCGAGCTCGGAGGCGCGAGTGACGAGCACCTCCCATCTCTCGAACTCGTCCTCATTTTCGATCTATGTACTGTCAGTTTGCGCCATCAGACTGTGTTGCGCTCAACTTACCACCGCGCCGAGAAGCTTCCTGATTTCCGGTGCAGCCTCCTCGCCCGAGTATTCGACATGCGCAATGGCGCCGCGGCCGTTGGGCAACATGTTGTCGCGTTTGGTATTGGTCCCGAGGTCGATGTCAGTTGACCGAATCAAGTGACGAGCGGGCGACGGGGGAACTGTGTGTGCAGGTGAGAGATGGTGATGGATGTTGAGTAGGCGAGACCGCGACGAACCAAGGATTGATAGCTCGCAAGCGGAGTTCGCGGCCCACTTTTGGGAGCCGCGCTCTAGCGCCTTTCACGTTATCGGCGCTTTACGAAGTACTTTTGTTTGCCCAGTCTTCACGACTCACAAGCCTTCTTTGAGTTGATGATTATTTGTCATCTTGTCTAGCAACTCGGCTAATCTATTACCACCCATGCATATCTACACGACAAATCCACCACTGTTCTTCTGTCGTGGCTCACCAGCAGCCTCGAATGTGCCGTTGCTTAGCCTCCTGAGACCCTGCGCTGTGCTTCCCGCCGCTGCCCATGTCACATTGGCGCCCAGAGACTTCAGAAAGGCTGTGGTTCCATTGTTAAATGTGGGCTCGAAGCTGACCTGGGCCGGAACAAGCTGATCGTGAATTCTGGGCTGAGCCAGCGCCTCTGCAGTTGTCAGATTGCCGTCCAAAATGTGAATCAGGTTCTGGATGGTGGCAGTAATGATACGACTACCTCCAGCTGCACCTATAGCGACGTAGAAAGCATTCGCCAGGGTAGAGTTGAGATGCTCGACAATGACAGGCGAGATGGAGGACAATGGGCGCTTGCCAGGGCGTATAAAGTTGGCGGGACTAGGAATGTAGCCGAATGCGTTGGTCGTGTTAGGAATCGAGAAGTCGTTCATCTCGTTGTTCATGATGACTCCTGTCTCTGGGACGACGAGCTTGCTACCGAAGAGCAGATTGACGGTCGTTGTCAATGTGATGGCGAGACCATCCTTGTCCGCAGCTACAATATGCGAAGTTCCGGGAGTCTCAAGTGACTCCAGTCCCTTAGGATCATAGTAGGAGACGTTGAAGGTCTGAGTGTCGCTGATCTTGGAGCGGATTTCTGCCGCAGTGGAAGCCGAGACCATCCCTTCTTGGTATTCATCCATACCCTCGAGATACAACGGGTCACCCAGCTCAGCGCGCATGCCATAAGCAAACTTCATGGCTTCGTCCAGACGGTGGGTGGTCAGATTGATGCTAGCTGGGTCACCGAAGGCAGAGTATCCCTCTAGGATCTTCAAGGCGGAAAGTGCGACCTCACCGCCACTGGGAGCGCTGCAAGCTGTGAGCTTGAAGTCGTGGTACGTGATGGTTGACGGCTTGCGGATGGCGACTGTATAGTTCTTGAGATCCTCCAGGGTCATCGACCCGTCCTTGGCCTGAAGAGCGTTAATGGTTGCTTCCGCAAGAGGTCCCTCATAGAAGGCGTCAGGGCCTTCGTTGGCGATGGTCTCGAGTGTGTCGGCGTAACGCTTCCTGGTGATGGTCTCATTGAGCTGGACGACGCGACCCTTGGGCGCAAAGTCGATAGCCCACTCCGGGTCATTGAGCAAGAAGTTTGTCGATGCATTCAAACTTGCTGTCGCAGACTTGATGTAGCTGATCAAATCCTCGTTGACTCGCCATCCCTCTCGCGCGACCTTGACTGCCGGCGTGAGCACTTTCGCCCAAGGCAGCTTGCCATAGTTCTCATGAAGGTACTGCAAACCACGGATTTCGCCAGGTACACCAGAAGCCAGACCACCGTTTATGCTCGCATCCTCGTTGCCCAAATACATGTCCTGAAAACTAGCAGCCGGTGCGGTCTCGCGGAAGTCAATAAACTCGTAGGTGCCATTAGGTGCTCGAACAAGCATGAAGCCACCGCCTCCGATGCCTGCAGATTGTCAGCTTCTCGAAGGCGAGCCGTGCCAGAACGTCAGCTGCAAGACCTACCAGAGTGGTACATGCCAATGACTCCCACGCAGGCCACAGTACCGACCAATGCATCTGCAGCATTGCCGCCTTGCTTCAACAAATCCACACCGATATGGCTGCAGATATCGCTCTCTGAAGCCACAGCGCCTAGCTCACCATGCTTGATCACGGGCGATGTAGGATAGCCTGAGGGAACTGGGTTTGCGAGCACCGACTGCAGCGTCAGCAGCCCGGTCAAGCACCGCGACAAGATTGCACCACGCGCCATATTGATACTCTCGCGGTAGAAGGAGGAAACAAGTTCAGCAAGTACAGGAGCCATGGCTGGGCACGCCTTTCACTTTTTAAGCCGCTGCAACGGTCGGCCCTAATAGGAATTTGCCGTACAACAATGACGATCACTGCCTCGACCGTTTTGGTAAGAAGCCTACACCGATGAGGCAGCTGCGAAGACGTCCGAGTGCGGAGGAGTGGGCCACATACGCAATTGTAGCAGGAATCGCGACATGATGGCCGCAAAGGCCTTGTGCCGCAGTTATGAAGCTCGGTAGATGAGACTAGGTAATTATTGGGCTTGAGATAACGGACGTGAATGTTCGTCGATACCGTAAGAGATACGAAGATAGGCGAGGCTGGCAGTCGATTGACAGCTCAATTGCGTACCCATAGAGCTCTTTGGGAGATACACGTTGAGACCATAGCAATTCGTCTTTGTGTTGAGGCTGCACAGCAAGCCATCGCCAGGCCGAAGCAAACAGCTGCAAGCACCGCCTTGGTTGATGCTGCATTGTGTGCGCTGCGGACCTTGCATACTAGACCCACCTGCTTCGTAGAGATACGAAGTATGCAAGGCTGATTTCGCTGTGCAAATGCCTGAAATCTTGATGACCTACCGTGTCCGTGCACCAAATGCGCGCATTTATCAAATGCGCGCATCAACAAGAACGCGTCAAACTTCACACCAATTTTGCTCAACGCCACTATGTCGCTCAATCTAGCCCTTGCAGAGATAGCTCAATTAAGCCCCTGTGAAAAGATCCTGTACACCAAAATCGCTAAAACACATGGTGTTGTGCGCTCAACGTTGACGCGTAGACATCAAGGCAATATGCGCCTGCGCAAAGACATGTTAGCAGAACAGCAAAATATTAATCTACAACAAGAGGAGGACCTTATGAAGTATAAAGAGCAGCTTACTAAGCAACTTTTACTACCTACACAGGATATAATACAGAATTTTGCCTTAGGAGTTGCTTAAAAGAGAGTATTAGAGAGCTAGGTCACTCACTTTATTGACAAGTTGTCAGGTATTCGGTTACTGAGGAAAGGTTGGCAGGGCCGGATCTGTACAGAAACATCACTTAGAGATCTCAGCCAAGTTCACCAAGCAAGGCAGGGGCCCACAGACTAAGCCTAATAATTAGTAACCCGCTAGATTGAGGTTACCAAGCATTTAAAAGAGGGGTACCTAAGCAATTTCGGACTACTAAGACAATGCCTTAGCTAATAATTAATAGAAAGGCAGGGTTAAGAGTACATAAGATTAGAGGAGAGACATAAAATAAAGAAGATAGATAATAACGTAGATTAGGCTGGCGGATGGGTAGGGTGTGCTTTTTTACGTTTTGGCTTATAGCTTCTTAACTAGCAGAGATACGCTTACATAATCTATTATTTAATAGAAGCGCCTAGTATTGCGCCTTCTAATAAAAAAAGAATTAGCTTATTCTACCTAGTATTAGCTAAGTTATTAAAACTACCTAGCAAAGTATACCTATTAATAGGTATGCTCGCTAGGTACCCCCCCTTTTTT